CCCAGGCATCGAAGTTACTATTGTCCCCTACTGGTATTTTATGATTCATATTAAATTTTTTAAATAAAAACCTAGATAAAAATCAACTCAAATGTGAAAAACATCAACACAGATAATCATTAAAACATATTAAGATAATATATTATACTTGTGTTATAAAGAAAAAAAAATATTTTGAATTTTGTGCACGCAATAAAAGTTACTTGATGCATGAAAAAAGTAATTCCTGCTTCTGCACTCGTGCACGTTCCGCGAAAATCAGCATGTAATGAATGATTCAATGCCTATCTGTTTATAGAATTTTATCACGCGGCCACATACATATATCTGTTATAGTTTAAGAAATATTGACGATGTTACTATTGTCCCGTGTTACTTTTGTCCCCAGTCTACCCTAACATTGATATCTCAATGTATTGTTAAACTAAGCAAGCCTCTATCGTAATTGATTTCACGTTATTACAAGGACTAACTTACTCATTAGGACATAGTCACAAATTAAAACATTTATTTTATACATATAAAATTTCTCAGGTTAGAGCCGATAAAATGAGAAAAAAATGCTTATTTTTGCGGTTTTTAGCCTCTAACTAGTTTCGCTCAACAGCTAGCGAAATTTTGTGTATGAGAAAGTTGTAGAGCTTGAAAAGACCTACAATTCAACCCCCTAAATTGTTTCGTTTTGATAAAAATTGAGCGAAAAATTGAGAATAAATACAGTTTTTATTTTTTTTTACTATGGCGCACCACTTTTAAAAATCTGAAAAAAATTGACGATATAGTTCGGCCTAAAATACATCTTCTTGAATTTTTTCAAGAGGGCATTATTTTTTAAACGCGAGAAAACATTTTTTGAATTCTTTATGAATTTTTTAAAAAGTTTCTATAAGGTCAAATTATTTGAAAAAATTTTCATAGTTAAACTCTAATATTTTTTACACGCATGAATTTTTTTGTAAAGATTGTTATCATGGTTACGGAATAGAAAAATAAAAACTGAAAATACACGTTTTTTGCTATAGCAAGCTTAATTTTGGGAATAGGGAGTTAAAAATTTCTGATAATTATTATTTTTCGACATAGAAAAGGATAAACTTTCATTCATTTGAATCCCTGCTGGGGCAGATTGGACCATCTTATCCTGCTAGACCCTTTTCGTTTATTTAGTATCGATTAAATTAAACAATGAATAAGATTACTACCTTATAAAATTATATCGATGTACGAATTATAAAATTGTCCGTTGTTAGAACAATGCGATGAGAGCCAAGTTTAAGATGTTACACGTTAAAGGTTTAGAAATTCGAATAATTAATAACTGACATTTCAAGTAAGAAAGGTTACATTAGTAATAAGGGGAAAAGAGGATGTGGAAAGGGTAAATTATATGTGGTAAAATGAGGAGAAATTAGGAGTAAAAGGGAGGAAGAGTTAAGGAGGAGAGAGAGAATTAATAATCTGTGAATAAATTTTTGGTAAAGATTCAGTATCATTTTGCTTGTTAGGATCATGTTTTTGTCTTTTAATATGAACCATTTCAGATACTAATCACTTGTTGTAGGTAGATTCAATGTCTAAAATTTTGACGTCATTCCATCTAAAATTGTGGTCAAAACTAATGCAATGATCTGTTATGACAGTGGGAGAACCTGTCTTTTTTCTAATATCAAATATATGTTTGTTTAATATGTAGTACTCAATTTTCTTTTCGTTTGACTAACATAGCTGGCTTCGCAATCGTCACAGGAAATGTTATAAATTACATTATTATTGATAAATGTTCTAATTTATCTTTACCTCTCTTTATAAAACTTTTAAATGTGTTAGGAATTGAAAAGGCTAATTTGCAATGAAACATTGCAAATCAAATGTCGCTCGAGCATCGTGCGGCACTTGGACCGCTCACGGGGCGATAAGATGAGAGGGACTGCAGAAGGCGATTCGAAAATAGGCCGAAAGTTACATACTTTATGTATGTTCACTTTGAACTGGCATCTTTAATTAATGATATATCAGTTACTTTTCGTAGTAATATATTAATATTAGATAAAAAGATTTAAATTTTTAGTATCTTTTTTTGAACATGGCTGGACTTTTTCATTTTTATGATGATTTTTTTCGTATTTATATCGCGAGGTCAACTAGAAATTGGCACGGGAACGTTTAGAATGGGTAGAGAGAAGGAGAGTTAGATTATTAGAGGAGAAAAAATTTTTTGGAAAGGGGAAGGTGGGCAATCGTGTTCATCGCACATGGAGTAAGCGCAACTTTACGTAAAAAAAAACAATCTATGCAAATTAGCGCAAACTACGTAATTTTAATCAAATGACAATTTTTATTTACAAACAATTGTATATTTTAATGAATTTTTTTGGCTCGTAGCCCTTTTTCCTTTTCATTATTTCTAAATTTATTGAGCCTTATTACAAACATATTTTAAATCATTTGTTTTATTCTTTTCAGCTCGCAAAGCCGATTGAATATAATCAATTCCAAAAACCGATTCCCCTGACCAAGTTTAAACCTCTTCCCGGACAGATATGTACTTTATCAGGATGGGGTACGATACGCGACAACGGACCGCTCCCGAGCATACTTCAAAAGATGAATCAGGTTGTAGTTTCATCGTACCAATGTCAGGATAGGCACTTTGATGTGCCCATATCCACCACTCACTTATGCACACTCAATCGTTCGGGAATTGGCGCTTGCGGGGTAAATAATAGCATTAATGGATATATAAAGATATATTTTCTAGTTTAATCGAGACGATTGATTTATCAATTGTGAAAAAATTAAATAATAAATAAGTTAACAAAAACGTCTGTCTGCTTTTCAGGGTGACAGCGGTGGCCCACTCATTAGTGATGGCGTACAAATTGGTGTTACCTCCTTTGGTATGTCACCTTGCGCTCATGGTTATCCTGACGTTTTCACCGATGTCTACTCCCATCGCAACTTTATTGATAACGCTTAAGAAAATGCATGAAAGCAATTTATGAGACATAAACTAAATAAATCTATCCAATTTATAGTTTATGTTAACTATATATCAACGTGCCGAAAGAATTCGTTACTGCAACGTTGAAATTACATGCAATACGTGGACTACGTCTGTAAAAGACAAAAAACATTTCTGTATTTTAATATTAATAAATAAATAAATAAGTAAAAGTCTTATGATTATACACTGAATCTATCCATATAGCATTTTCGAGTGTAATGGGTTTAAACTCAACTCAGACCGGTTTATACATGTTTGACCCGAAAGTATCATGACATGGTCTGTAACGCATTGTTTCCGACCGAAGAACTGGCCGGATGCCGCTACAATAGTTTTCCATGTGCCAGCGATAAAGACGCGGTGTCCCGCATTTCTTTTAAACGTTCAAACATAATTCCAGGTGACAATAGCACTTGCTGCCGTTATTCTGAAAATTAACAAGCGCGGTCGAAAATCGCCGGTCGACATCTTCCTCGCTCAAATTGTCGATTATTGAGAAAGACTGAACCAACACAGAACAAAAGGAGCGGGAGCAATAATCGCGATTGTTGCTAACATCTCTAAATTCCGTTCTGATCCTGATCTCCTCCGAGAGTTCTCGGTTGTCGATGCATCCCAGACACGTTTCCCCCATATAATGAGGAAACGAGCCTAACGATTTCGCATAGTGTCCGCGATTTCGATGCACCGCTGGCATATATCCGTGTATTTATGCGATCAACTCAAATCTGGTACCGCCGCGCGCGGCCCGTCGAAACTGGATTTAAGGGTCGACAGGAGTGACAGAAATATTTTTGTTACGCCTTTTTACAAAAAAATAGCTCTGTACGAGCCTTCAGGAGCCTTTTCTGATTACGAATATCACAATCAAAACACGATTCATGTTATATTTTAGCCATAATTTGAGAATAAAGGTAACATTTATGAATGCAGATCAGTGCAGATCTAGATCAGTTATGCTCATTTTCCTTCTCAAAGAAATAATATTTCCTTATAAAACCTGTTGGGATTTCATTGTTATATTGCTGGGAAGACTCGTACAGAGTCAGATTTGCAAATTAATTCTTGAAAATTTTTATTAAAATAAGATCATGTATACACCTCTCAACTGCACCATAGTACACATCGAGTGAGATAACAGAACAAATTTTTATTATGCCTTTTTTACAAAAAAATAGCTCTGTACGAGCCTTCAGGAGCCTTTCCTGATTACGAATATCGCAATTAAAACGTGATCCATCCAGTATTTTAGCCATAATTTGGGAATAAAAAATTCATCTTCGACTAGAGGTCTCTGGGTCACTCTTGTCGACCCTTAAAGAGTCCGCCGACTGTTCGCGACGCACATAGTAAATGAAGTTTCTAGTAACTATAAATTTTACTATCACGTCATGATTTTTACTATCAGATAGTAAATCCAAATAATATATTTACCGGAAACTTAATTCATTCCATTTGAATGGTAAATGTAATCTTTAAAGGTGAAATTACAAATCACTCTGTATTTTAACTGCGCAATCAAGGGTTAAAAATGACCTTTGTAAAGTTAGCACATTATTTAAAAAAAAATGAAATTATCGACACAATTTCGAATGCACAAGAGTTCCCGCCTAAAATAAAAAATATTTTCAAACAAACAAAGAAAGAAGTAGAGCCTATAACGGTCAAAGCTGGATCAAAGTTCTTATTATAATTTATTATGCGTGATTCTTTTATATACTACATATGTAGTCCCCCCCATAATTGCATACTGATAACTTTTAGACATAACGCATAAATACTACAGTAGTAATATCACAAATTTTACTTGATTAATTACATATTAAATATGAAGAAGATAAATTAAAATTCCGTAAATAATTAGATCTTTAATTTATTCTTTATATATTGCGAAAAATATCACATATTCTTGGCGATTCGTGCCTAAAATAAAAAATATTTTTCCGGCGAATTAACATAAAAAATCGAATATTATTGGTAGTACAAATTAGTTCGGTCCGTTTTTTTTCCAAAAATGCATTTATTTCAAAACGAAATGAATGAACAGAATAATTAAAGTATTGTCCATGGCTGGCTACTACTTTTTCCCATCTCTCAGGCAATTTTCGAATTCCATCTCGAAAAAATGACTCGTCTTTCGAGCCGATCTAATTTTGGAGCCAATTTTCGATTTCTGTGAAAGAAGTGAATTAGTCCAGACGCTGAGTACACTTCTGTGTGACCTGAAATGTCGCCTCGAGATATATATGGATTCTTATAGATTTTGACCTCCTGAATCCGAATATGTCGGTTAGATTTTGTAAAAAGTGGTAGGTTAATTGTTATTAACAATTTAATTGTTTAAATCGATATATCTCGAAAACGGTAAGTCGTACGAAAAAAAAGTTCAAACAGAAAATGTTCGTCTATTTAATTAGAACAAAAAAGCTTCTTACCACTTTTCTCGTATTGTTGATATTATATGAGATATAAGCCATTTATCAATTAGCCTATCAACAAATGCGTGGCGACGCCGCGCCGTGACATTCAAAGGTTGTACTTTTAATGAACATTAGAGAAAAAAAATAACAAATAGGACGTTTCTTATGCAAAATTTTGTGCTCTTTCAAATGGCGTTGTTAAAATTGATGAAAATATTGAAATAAAAAAGTTACAGGGGATTTAATGATGAAAAACCTAAATTTTTGTGTGATATTTTTGAGTTTAACGCTTGTTTTGATACCGATAAGTGATTGAAATGTATCAAAACGCTACAAATTATCATTATACACATCCTAAACTTCAAAATGAATCTAATCCGAAATCCAGGTTCAAGATGGCGGCTTAAAAAATGGAGGCTGAGTCCTGAAAATCAAAATGCTGCGGATAGACCATTTTGTACAATTATATGTCCATTGGAAAATGGAACAGATCTTTATTTTAGATTTCCTGAATTCGAAATTGTCAGTGACATTTTTATAAATGTTTTAGGTTAATTGTTATTAACAATTTATTTATTTTAATAATTATATATCTCGAAAACTTCAGATTGACGACGAAATAAGTTACAATTTATAAAAATGCAATTCAGTATCCTTTTTTTGTCTCAACACTTGTTTTTCAGCGAGTGCACTACTTAAATGGGAAGTGTGTAATAATGCATTTATATGATAAGTAAATGTAGAATATTTATATGACAATTTTTATTTATCAAATTTAAAACAATATTAGTTTTGAAATCGCGCGCGGTAGCGGTATGATGAAATATGTGGTTCCCCCCGCGTCACCCGTGTATTAAAATAAATAAATTGTTAATAACAATTAACCTAAAACATTTATAAAAATGTCACTGACAATTTCGAATTCAGGAAATCTAAATTTATAAAGATCTGTTCCATTTTCCAATGGACATATAATTGTACAAAATGGTCTATCCGCAGCATTTTGATTTTCAGGACTCAGCCTCCATTTTTTAAGCCGCCATCTTGAACCTGGATTTCGGATTAGGTTCATTTTGAAGTTTAGGATGTGTATAATGATAATTTGTAGCGTTTTGATACATTTCAATCACTTATCGGTATCAAAACAAGCGTTAAACTCAAAAATATCACACAAAAATTTAGGTTTTTCATCATTAAATCCCCTGTAACTTTTTTATTTCAATATTTTCATCAATTTTAACAGCGGAATTTGAAAGAGCACAAAATTTTGCATAAGAAACGTCCTATTTGTTATTTTTTTTCTCTAATGTTCATTAAAAGTACAACCTTTGAATGTCGCGGTGCGGCGTCGCCACGCATTTGTTGATAGGCTAATTGATAAATGGCTTATATCTCATATAATATCAACAATACGAGAAAAGTGGTAAGAAGCTTTTTTGTTCTAATTAAATAGACGAACATTTTCTGTTTGAACTTTTTTTTCGTACGACTTACCGTTTTCGAGATATATCGATTTAAACAATTAAATTGTTAATAACAATTAACCTACCACTTTTTACAAAATCTAACCGACATATTCGGATTCAGGAGGTCAAAATCTATAAGAATCCATATATATCTCGAGGCGACATTTCAGGTCACACAGAAGTGTACTCAGCGTCTGGACTATAAGGACAAGACTTTGAATTAAGACTTCGAAGTTAAAACCAAAGGAAAAGTTTTTATTACACACAAAATATATACGTATATATATTTCCTTAAATAACATACATTTTACTGAAGTGCTGTATCTACGCTTACAACTGTGTCGTTTACATTTGTGTCACTTTTAAATCATTTTTTAAATCTATGTTATTATATATTAAAGTAATAGAAGTATATATTATTTTTATGAGAGCACATTTATGTAAGAAAACATCATAAAATAATACAGATGATAAGCAAAGAACGTTTACACTTTATTTAAAAAGAAAAATTAATCATACTCTTCTGTACACTACACGTAAATTCACACTGTAGAAAGAGTATTATTGCGTTAATTATAAATCTGAAGGGTTCAATCTGTATGTCTGTTAAAAAAAGGATAAATCAGTGTTCTTTTAAAAAGAAAATTATCGAATGAGGGAGATAATTATATAAAGAAGAATCCTTGTTGATTATTCAATAAATTTTTCCAAGTAAATAAATGAAAATTTTTTATCTATCTGATAATTAATCGTCAATTGTGTCAACCACATGATATACGTCTATATCGCATTAATAAATGTGCACGCATAAATACATGTATACATAATTAAAGTTGCGTAATTATTTAACAATTGAAACATTGGTGAAAAGGGAAAAAACAAATGCTTGTTCATGGTATGGTCGGGTCGCGCAATCTGCGTAAAATGAAAATCATCGGCTATTACGTCCAGCGCTCTAGCTCGTCGTATTTTGGTTCCCTTCCGTCCGATCTTCTTTATCTCCTCGCCGTTCGTATATGTCTACTAGCCGGTATTTTTTCTGCGAGCTGCTGTATGCGCGAAAGAGGACACCACCGTCCAGCGGCACGCAGATCGCTGATTGTTGTAAAAATTCAGTATAATTGAAATAATTAATAAAAGCGGCATAATATTCCGAATGCAAAATGAGTCTCAACGCCGTTAAGTAATCTCAAAATCACCCACCGAGTTGT